TGCCATATCTACAAACAAGAATAAGATTTATTTGATTAGCCTCAACCAGCACATCTGTGCATTTTTAAACTCGACTGATGAGATTTATGACCTGGTAGACCTTAACCCCTTTTATTCCCTAATCCTTTCATCGTCTTTGTAAAAAAAAAGATGAGTGTCAGTCAGTACCCAGCTATACGAAACACAACAAGATAGAAGATATAGTGAGTCGATTTCTTCTTATTGTTGTCAAGTTGGAATAATAGCAACAGTCAGTCAGTCAGTCAGATACAACGCAGAACTTCGTACGTAAGTACATCAGTTCATGTTGCCATACCAAATCAGCACAGAGAAGTAATTGTCAATTCAAATCCAATAGTAGTATAGGTAGTAAGGGAATCAGAAGTAATCGGAGAGGTTATGGTTAGAAGATATTATTCAAGAAGTATGATTCAGTGAGAAAAGTTTAGAAAGTCAAAACTAGAGGTGTTGAAGAATCCAGAAGATTAGGATTTGAGACAACATAAAGAATAAATGCACCGGCGCCATCGCAAACGATTTTGAGCCATGTCATTCAAGGTCTCTAACCATCGATTATTATCATCTCGCGGACCGCAACCAGGTAGTCGACAATTACCGACATGGCTCAGTCCACTAGTCAATGACTTCATGGATTTCTGCTATGTTTTGGTCTGGCCGCACCTAACTTTCTTCCAACCTATTCCTACACTACAAAACAAAGCTCATCGAGGCAGTCGGTGGTTAGGCATACTCAGCACATGTCCCACGCACCTCAACTGATGAAGTTTCAATACTTCATCTATTGATCTGCCATTCTTACCTGGCACCCGATTCCTGATAACATTGTTGCTTACTCGGTTGTCCCACGGTATACGAGCAATGCTTCGAAGACACCTATGATCGAAAACCAGTAACCTACGAATAATAGCAACGCTATAAGTAGTTAACATTCCCTAAGTTTATGAAATCATCAATCGATCAATGTTAGACTACATATTAATAGAAACCTGGAACCACTGAAAGACGGTCGTTTCGTCTTGGTATGGTATGGATCAGTCGCAGTGCGCATTCACAACTCTTGCACCTTACAGGATACGAACCTAGGACCCTGTGGAATTGTTCATAATATCAACTGTTATTATTATTGTGAAACACTATCCATTCTACTATCACAAATATTGATTAAGCTATGTGCAACTATGCACTAACATTCAAGTAAACAGTAAAAACACATCATTCATTTATATAATTAATGATAAATCACACCATAATATGTATGTATGTAAGTCATTTCATTAGTATTTTTTAAAATCATCAAAACTAATAGAGAGAGAGAGATAAAAAAATAGTTGAATATTAATTAGTTTAGACCTAATTAAATTTTGAAATTTACAACTTTTCAAGGAAAATACCTAAATAACTGCTAACACAAGGAGATGTGATTTTTAAAGTTCATTCACGTTGCGACTGATATAATGATTACGAAAGTCATTGATTTTGTGTAACAAACAATTGAATGGAAGTCATCACTTCAATGACTATGAGAAAGCATTTGATAGTATGGATAGGACAACACGATGGACACTTCTTCGACACTGTGGTGTGCCTGAGAGTATAGTCAACATCATATAGAATTCTTACGATCGATTAAACTGTAAAATTGAGTATGGAGGACAGTTGATAGACAGGTTTAGGGCGAAGAGCGGTGCCAAGTTAAGGTTGCTTACTCTCACCCTTACTCTTTCTCCCGGCGATCGAATGGATTATGAAGATGTCAACATCTGGAGGGAAGCACGGGATACAGTGGACAACTAAGATGTAGTTGGACGATTTGGACTTCGCAGATGAAATGGCTCTTCTATTGCACATGTAATAACAAGTGCAAGGGGAGATGACCAGTGTAACAACAGCGTGTGTGAACACACACAAAGGTAAAAGCAAGATTCTTTGATATAACACAACATGCACCAACCAAATCACTCTTAATGGAGATGCCTTCGATGATGTAAAAACCTTTAAATTTTTAGGCAGCATCATTGACGAGCAAGATGGATCTGATGCAGATAGGAAGGCGCGGATTGGCAAAGCAAGGACAGCATTTCTACAAGTGAACAACATCTGAAACGCCAAACAACTATCAACCAACATCAAAGCCAGAATTTTCAATACAAATATCAAGACAGTGTTACTGTATGGGGCAGAAACTTGAAAGACTATCAAAGGCATCATCTAGAAGATACAAGTAATTATTAACAATTTTCTGCGCAAAATACCTTGGATCCCTTGGCCAGACACCATCAGCAACAACCTACTGTGGGAGAGAAAAAACCAGATTCCAGTGGAGGACAAAATCAGGAAGAAACACTGGGGACGAATAGGACATGCATTGAGGAAAGCTCCCAACAGTGTCGCAAGTCAAGCCTTCTGTAGGAATCCTCAAGGTCAAAGGAAAAGAGGAAGGCTGAGAAATCGAAACAAACATGAGAAGGTTGAACAAAAACTGAACAGAACTGAGAAGGGAAGCCCAGGAAGGAGTAGGTTGGAGAATACTAGTCGACGGCCTATGCCCCATTGTGGTAACAGGAGTAAGTAAGTAAGTAAGTAAGTAATGTCATTAATTTATGTCACTCTTTATTATGGAT